GTTTTTGCAGATCAATTCTCTGCAATCAATTCTCACCGCATCTCTTATTAACTGGACTGCACTTGGAGCCACTGATAAGGTTAAGTCGGGGTGACCAACCTGTGGCTCTTCAGAAGTTAATATGCAGCTCCTTGAATAGATACCAAATCCAGGGCTGGAGCTACAGGTGCCAACTTTCCACTGGGCCAGAGGTTGCTCACTGTTCAATCCCGAACTCTGCCCTAGGCCCGTTCCCCCTAGTATCCTGCCACTTCCCACTCTCTCCACTGAGCCTGTCACACCCATGCGTCCCCTCTCTAGTGTCTCCCACTGAGAGAGCGCTGATCCCATTTAGCAGGAGAAAGAGGCACTGACTGGTGGAGCTGCAGGTGGGTGGAATGTGCTGAGAGTGGTGGTGTCAGGGCTGGTGACATAGAACTGTTGCTCTTTGGCTACGTGCATTAGTAATTTCTGGCTCCTCCTTAGGCTGGCCACCCCTGGGTTAAGTCCTTCCAGGCTGGCTCCCTGTAGCTGAGTAGGTTCCTCTGCCAAGAGCCCCTGTGCTCCCTAACCACTGAGAGAATGAAAGCTCAGTTGTCTGAGATAGCCAGTATGCCAAGGGCAGGACTGAGCAAGGGATACTTACATTCTAATATGGGTTTTCTCACCCACTGGTGTTAGACAAGTTGCTTAATTTTTCGGCCTTTTTTTTTCCAGTTTGACCCAGGAGTCATGAGGATGAATGCATTTTGTAAAGCAGCATAAACAAGTGCTACAGTTTACACACATGCTGTGATAGCCATCAAGGCCCCACTTTATAATCCTTAAGAAAACTTTTCTAAATTACAGTGATTTCATGCATGGACTCTAGCCCAAGCAGCTGAGTTTGCCTTTCTGCTTTGTTACGCTGGAATTGACCTGAAAATCCCTACATCTATGTATTTAGGAGTGCATCCATCTGTGCATCTCTGAGTCTGTTTGTTCAAGAACTCCTCTTAAACCGTAAGAGCTAGGACCACCAAATTTGGTATGCAGCTTCCTTTTACCCTAACTTTAGTTTGTTAGGGCTCAGTTGTGCCTAGAAGATGGGAAGTGCCAGGAATGGGAATGTTTCCATAAAATGGAAAGGGAGGGAGCAGAGAGAAGAAACACAAAAGGAAAGGGCACAGAGAGGAGCGATGTGATACTGAGTGGCCCCTGGGGGCAGCTGCAGCACCAAGAGGTGGCCAGCAGGTCTGGGGCTCTGCCATCTTTCCTGCCTCCAGACCAGGTAAGAAGCTCCCAAACCTGGAGCCTGTGCCCCCCATCCTGCCCGTGGAGAGCCTGCAGGAGGGACGCTGCAGGAGGGGACAGCTACCAGAGCCTGCTCCCCCAATAGAGAGCCTTCAGGCCACAGGGAAGGCTGCTGGAGGGGGCAGCCCCCAGAGTCTGTCTTCCTCCCACCAGACAACCTGAAGGCTCAGGGGGGACTGCTGGAGAGGGCAGCCTCTAGAGCCTTGACCCCACCTCAACAGCCTGCGGTTCATGGGGGAGGCACTGCAGGAGACTGGGGGCAGCCCCAGGAACCTCCTCCTCCCCCGACAGCCTATAGGCCATTGGGGGGTACTGGAGGCCAGGGGCAGCCCCCAGACAACCTGCAGGCCACAGGGAGTAACTTGAGGTGAGGAGGGTTAGGGTTAGGAGCGGGCAGCCCCCAGAGCCTTGACCACCCCCCCAGACAGCCCGCAGACCCCAGGGAGTAATTTACGGGAGTAACTCCCACTTGCAGGGGAGCACTGCCCTGGTCCCCTGGGAGGAATCTCCATTGGAGTTGCATCTTCACTGTCACAAGCGGCCCCAGTAAGACCCCTTCCCACTTCCCAGCCCCATCCTGACTCCGGCACCTCCCACCTGCCTTGAATCTCACAACCTTCTGCCCTAAGCCACCCACCCACTACCCCTTCTCATCCCGAACTCTCACTCCAGCCTTCATTTTCAAAAAATTCAACAACTGGAATAATGCATGTACATTTTTCATTTATTTTTCCGAAAAAAAATTACTTCAGTTAAAGACCTGAGCAATGCCATGTACATCTGCTAGAAACTTACTTAATGAATCAGGAAATTTGCTAGCATTCAAAGAACCATCCATACAAATCTCCCTAAAACAAAGTTCATTTGATCTGTTTCAAGCAAAGTTGAAATACCAAACTCTACTATAGTTTAAAGAACAGGACAAAAATTGCCCAGGGTATAATCTTGACTGATAGAGAGCTGGGTCCCCTCAATTTGCCAATCTAGGGTCCTTTGCCATAAGAGTAACTCCTCTTTGATCTGCTCAATCACAGCCTCGAGCATGCAAATCACTCTCAGCTATACTGTACGAATGCTATAGCCAGCTATCTATGAATTGAACTGCAGGCTAACACCAGCAAACTCCCAGTCCAAGACTTCATTCTAGAAGTGTGTGCCTTGTACAACCTGGCATAGTCATGGACAGCACAAGCTCATATAAAGTCTATAATTTCCATTAATAGGAAGTGTTGTGCACATATCTTATAATCTCAGATGGAGCTTCCCAAACACTCCAGGCACACTGGTTTAGATAAAACATGTATGTTTATTAGCTACAGGGAGATGGATTTTAAGTGATTACAAGTGGTTAGGCATAGGAGTGAAAACTGATTACAAGAAAACAAAAGATAAAATCTAACTTGACAAGCTAAATGAATTCAAAGCAAAGGTCTCTCTCACCACATGCTTGAGTAGTCTTACTGCCTGGATTTCATTTGGCCAGGACTACAATCTTCCTCTGCACACCCTCCTCCTTCTTTCCCCCCTCCCCCCTTCACAGTTCAGTGTTACTTTCCTTGTTTTTCAGGTGGTGTTGTCATGGACAGAGAAAAAGGGAATATGCGGGGTAGGGGGGCTTGTTTCCCTTTCTTATAGTTTTCTTTTTAATCAATTCCAGATAAGGTTCAGAAGATCTGTGGAAATAGGAAGCTCCAGATGTTTCTTTTCTAAGATGTAAATTTCTTGCTCACACCTTTTCCGACTGAAGAATGGCAGTTTAGCCAGACGATAGACCATGTGATTTTAACAACGCCTGAGGTGTCAGTTTGAATTTTGTCTTTGAGGAACTGGTTTGTGCCCGTTTTTACAGACTTAGAATATCTCTCAATGTCATATAATAGAGTCTTATAACTTAACATTGGTGTGGCAACATAGTATGTAATCAGGACATTAATGATCAGCAAATTATGAATTTTCAAATGATACTTCAAAGGCATACTTTTAAAAAAATGCAATCTAGTTTTGTAAAAGGTGAATACGGGGATAAAGACTTTCACAATGGGACTATCCAAAAATGTTAATGCACTTTTACTATTATCTGCCCATACTTAAGCACACAGAGTATTTTTGGTCTCAAGGTACCACAATCAGGCAGGGATGCAAAACACCCTCTTGAGAGCAATTGTTAGTATTGTTGGGTTCTCAAAGTTATAGATGAACAGTGGTCTATTTTGAGAAGGGAAAAGCTCCAAGGATTTAATAATTTGTTTTAAAGAAATTGGTAGTAATGCAGCACTATTCTTATGCAGGACCATTTGTTCAAATTTACAATATGGGGGAAAAGAGCCACCTGCCCCAAGGCTGTGATGCTCACAACAACCATACTTAAAAGGATGCAAAGAGTGGTACTGGAAAGAGACTTTGGTCTGAAGGGAACAGAGGCATCTATCCACTGACCTGACATCTCAAGAAAGATATTGCCTGTACGGAGGTCATATCTGAGATATCACTGAAATATTGTCAAGGAACTATTCACTAAAATATATATTCCTATACTCTGGCCTATGGTTTATTGTCCTGTGTAAACTATTAAAACAACATTACTATGAACAGAATAGGTGACAATGAAGAAATACAGAAATGTAATTTGATAGCACAACTTTTAATTTTAACTAGGCTTTATTATAATCTTATGTTTTGTGTAGTCAGCTGAGCTTATCAGGCACTATTATAAATTGCACTAGAAAGTTGTTTGCAGCAATACAACAGAATTCTGGATGTATGATCCACACAACTTGTGAAAAACATTAGTGTTGCACAATTTAGTACCTACAGTTCAGGAAATGCCAAAGGTATGTTCCCCTCACATGTACCACCAGATGAAAATGTTAATTCAGGCTATCATTGCAAGCATTGTAGGGGAGCCGAGGCTACCCTGCCTTGGCAATAAATGGTGATGTCTGCCTTGTCCAAAGTGTGGATTTCTGGCCTGTTTCAATTCGTGTGCAAATAAGTACACAGGCAAGACCAGAGAGTCAGGAATTGTTTTGCATAACAATGCAGATTAAGCATGATACGCGAGACCATGTCAAGAACACAGGACAAGTGGCCTTGTACTGGTACTTCTGTTTCTGATAAGCAAAAAGTATAGATGGAGCCATGGAACTGTCAACAGCGCACATAGTTTAGGTAACATGCTGGGTAGCAGGATGTACCCCAAATATGGGCACTGGGGTTTTTACATATCCTACACAATACATAATCAATTGGTGAATATTAGATGTACCAAGTCTCGCCTTGCTATAAATTGGGCTTAGTAAGAACAATTGATGGGAGGGAATGGGTAGGATTGACCCACACGTCCTGCTCCATGTAACTAGAAGTAATTAGGCCCTTCACATTGACAGCCCAGTGCGTTGTGTTCCAATGAGTGGGAAGAAAACAGAACCACAATCTTCTGCCTGGCACTGTAGGTAGCATACCGGTGAAGTGTAAATGAGTTAGGCTTTATTATTATATATAGTAGATCTTGTAAGAATTGCTTTTGCATTGCTTTGCACTGTATTAATTACTTCAGAATTTATAATATTTAAGGTTTAAATTGTATAGTAATTGTTCTTAAGGCTTGTAAAACTTAAACAACTGTATTAACTGCTTAAAGCTTTCAATAAATAAGAAAGTGGTTAAGTAGCCCTGGAGTGTCTGTTTTCCCTTGGATCTAAAATAAATCCAACTGCACAACAAGCACACAAGAGGTTTTACACTTTATTAAAGATATCACATTGGTTTAATCCTAACACCACCATGAACTGCAGGTATCATTAAGCATTATCATGAAACCTGTGAAAAAAAACTCAAAACCGCCCACACACACACTTACTTTCTAGTACCCAAAGGGGACATCACATCATCTTCTTGCCTCTTCTCATTGCCTTGTACAACGTTATGTTTAAACTGGGGAAATTGCAAATTACCTCCAAGTCAAACAATTCCTGAAATCTGCCTATAAATCGATTATCTTTGTCCAGCCTGAATCTCATGGCCCAGAGAATAACAGTGTTGTCCTGACACAAATGATCGAAGGTAAGAAGGAGCTCTTCCAGGAAGGGATGGTAGTATACCACATCAGCAGCCATGATGTAGTCGAACTGACACAAAGACTTGGGGAAATTCTTCTCTAAATCAACTCCCCATGAGAGTTCTTTAATCTGGGGCTGATGCTTACATTTCGTTGTAGTATTTTTTAGAACATTGTACTGAAGGTTTCCTAGCAATTCAGGCAGATCTGTGGCAGTCACATGTGCACCTGGAACAAGAAAACCACCACCACCACATATTAACCTATAGTTCAAGAATTACAAAGAAATCTGTTGCAGTACAATATACATTTCAAGTGTGTTTCCACACAAAAACAAACAATTAAAATATGGGCCTGTTCTGCAAGATCAAAAATAGAATGGGGCCTTTATATCAAATCTGCTTGGTATACTAGTCAAGAGATGGGGGAGAGCACTTTAACTACCAACCCTGCAAAATCATCCCGGGATCTGAAAATCCCCTGAATTCTTTCCTTCTTATAAAAGACACTGCAGGCGAAATGGTGTCCTCAGTTACAATGCAGTGGTTAGCGATTCCAGTTACTGTTGGTAGAGAACAGGTTGTCAGGCAAGAAGACTTTATGGATAACGGATGGGACAGCAAACTCAAGCATACACTGTGTTCAAAGTGACTTGAGAAAACAGGAAGGGGTTGCTTAATAATCATAAGATAAACTGCTCTTGTGAAAAGTTGTCTGAATTTAGCCTCTTCTACATGAATCTGACCTCTTGGTCTAACAGGACCCCTAGATCTCACAACATCTGACTTTTGTCCTCTGTTTAATATTGAATGGTGGTCAAAACTACTGCCTCCCAAGTAATTTTATGAGGATAAAAGCAGAACTGGCTTTGAAGTTGGCTGGAAATCCCAAAGAATTCAGTGTTTCTTCCTTGGTTTTTTACAACATTTTAGAGGAACTGAACAAATACACACTCCAGTAGTCATCAATATTCATCTTAACGACATTTCCAAACCCAGAAAAGCAAATCTAAATACTTACCAAGTAAACTGGCTACTATGGAGACCAGCCCTGTCCCAGCCCCAATTTCAATTACACTTTTATCAACCAGGCTGTATTGTTTAGCATTTGTTTCCAAAAAGTGAGATAGAACAAGAGCCTGCAGAGAAAAACATAAGAACATATTGAACAAAAAGAACCCGCTCTGTGCGCACACAAAACCTATCACTATATGAATGCTAACCTTTCTGAATCTGAATTACAAAAACACCCAGCTTTTTTAAAAAGTCAAGATTTTATGTAATTTATTTCACATCTATCTAGGTCCAACTGCACAGTAATAAGGCAGAGTTTTATTTCAGTTCTCTTACAATAACAGATCATCCTTTATCCATTATCTGATGGAGAGATTATGCACCTTGCCTCCAACAGCACCTTCTGCTGCCTAATTTGAGGAACTGCATTATCTTTCCAATCACAGCCATCTGAATAATTCTACCTACCACTGAATAATTCCACCTACCACTTCAATAGCTCCTTCCATTCCAGAATCTCAAAACACTTCACGACCATCATGCATTTTTGTCCAACCTCTCTCCACCCCTCTCCATGTGAGAGACACGGGAGAATGATGAGCCTGAAGCACAAATTACTGAAGTGATTTGCCCAAGCTTACAGCACAAGCTTGTGATAAGGCTGGGAACACAACCAGTATTTCCTAACTCCTGTGCCTATGCCTCAAAACACAAGGCCATCACTTTCTCACAGAAACAATGAGAATAATGGGAGCATTGTGGTTAACACAGTAGAGGCAACCAGTGCCCTGCAGGGGAGGGGAGACAGGAAAGGGGGCCAGCGTGACAGCACTTGGCTTCAGCAATTAAAATCTAGGGGGAGGAGTGCATGGCCCATCTAGGGGGCATGTGACCCTGTATGCACCACACACACAGCACCCATGTGGGGAGATTTGCGGTCAGAACCAGAGGAACCAACCCAGAAATGACTGCCAAGAGATATACTTCAACCCCAGTGGAGGAACAGGAAGCAGTGATTCTGAATGTCCATGTCTCTGAGTTTCAGTTGGACCATAAACATCCTTTAACGGTTTGGGGGTCTGGTTCCCATGTGTGTTCCTAGGACCCTTCAACAGTTGTTCTGGCACCCTTACTGAAAAGATTTTCTCGCAATATCTAGTTGTGTTGCTGTTTATTGTATTAATTTTCATCCTAGTCTACAGTGGGGGAGGAGGAAGAGATTTCATTTGTAAAGTGCCCTGGACACACACAGATTAACACAAACATGATCTATATGCATTCCAGAGTAGTTTCCCGCTCTCCAAGCAGGCTGGGGGAAGCTATTACTAAATATTATTTGTTAAGATCTTATGTCATGCTTTGGCACTGAATGATATATGCATCTAAATACAATTCCTCTCCTGAAGGAACCAAGGTTCTCAATCACCTTTGAGCTATATAAGCTGCAGAAATATACCACAACAAAAAAACCCTAGATACAGATTCATGGATTTTAAAGCCAGAAGGAACTGATGTGGTCATCTAGTGTGGCTTCCAGCAGAACACAAACCAAAGATGTAACCAAAAAACAGGACTATGTAGCACTTTAAAGACTAACAAGATGGTTTATTAGGTGATGATAGATAGATGTAACCAGTAATTCCTGACTGAAATCCAATAACTTCTGGATGATTTAGAGCACACAGTTTAGAAAGGCATCTCATTTTGATTTAAAGACTTCAAATTAACAGAGAAACCAATACAACTCCTGCTAAGCAGCTTTAATAGATAATTACAGTTAAAAATCTGCCCCTCTCTCCCACTTTCAAAATGTCTAGCTTCAGCTATTAGCTCTTGTTACAGCTTAGGTTAAGAAACTCTTTACAATCTTCTCTCCATATATGCACTTACAGATTAATTAATTAATGGAGATGCCTATCTCCTAGAATTGGAAGGAACCTTGAAAGGTCATCAAGTCCAGTCCCTGGCCTTCACAGCAGGACCAAGTACCATCCCTGACAGATTTTGTCCCAGATCCCTAATTGGCCTCCTCAAGGACTGAACTTACAACCCTGGTTTTAGCAGGCCAATGCTCAAGCCACTGAGCTATCCCTCCCCCCAGGGCCTCCTGCATGCCACAAGCTCTTTCCCCTGAGGCCCCCTAACTTTTCTCCATAAAACAGCTTCCAGTAAACCACAGCGACCTGACACATTCTAAGTGACATTTTAGTTTCACGACTGAAGCAGAAAAGCAAAGTTACTCACTTTGGTGCAGTAACTGTCATTTGAGATGTGTGTCCCCATGGCTGCTCCACCGTAGGCGCTGGAGAATGGAGATTTTTCTAGTAGCAGTACTCGGCCAGACTACGCATGCGCGGTGGTGTCTCACGGCGTTCGTGCTCTTTTATGTGATTGCACGGTCTGGCCCCCGCCAGTTCCTTGAGACCGCCTTGGAATCTGGAAGTCATAAAGAAAGAAAGACTCCGAAGCGAGGAGGAGGATGGGTAGTGGAGCACCCACGGGGGGGGGGGGAAACACATCTCGAAGAATGACAGTTACTGCACCAAGATGAGTAACTTCACTTTCTTCTTCGAGTGATGTCCCCGTGGGTGCTCCATCGTAGGAGCAGCAGTACTCCACTAAGCAAGAAGGTGGGATATAGAGACCCTATTTGTCTGCTGAAGAGAGCACTGCTGATGCCACCACGGTATCTAAGAGCCCACTCTGCTGTACTGCGTAATGTTTTACAAAAGTGTCATGTCTTTAAAGGAAACACCCTTGAGAAGGCTGTTGAAGCTGCCATTGCTCTCATGAAATGGGCTCAAGGTTGTGTCAGAAGCGGTATAAGCCTGAATGCGTAGGCTTCAGTTATGCACATGGTTATGAGTTTTGAGATGCGCTGCGATGATATTGGCTGTCTTTTTGATCTCTCGGCCAGAGACACAATCAGCCGGTCAGTTTTTCTGACGGGTCTCCTGCATTCTATATAAAGTGCAAGGGCTCTGTGAATATCAAGTGTATAAAGGGACGCATCACACAACGAAGCACGAGGTTTTGAGTAAAAAGATGGAAGGACAATTGGTTCATTGACGTGAAAGGTCGAAGAAACTTTAGGGATAAATGCTGGGTGAAACCTTAGGACTACCCCATCGGTATTGAAAATGGTATATGGGGATGTTGCCATAAGTGCCGATAACTCACCAACTCTGCGTGCCGAAATAATGGCAAGAAGTAAAACCACCTTCATAGTTAACATCTGAAGTGGTACAGTTGCCAACGGTTCGAATGGTCAAGTAGTTAGAGCTCCAAGTACGACATCTAAGTTCCACACTGGAGAAACGGGCTTGTGAGGAGGGCTTAGGTTCATAAGGCCCTTCATGAATCTCTCGGTAGTTGGGTGGGCTAACAGGGAGGTGCCTTCAATCAGTTGTCTGAAAGCAGAAAATGGACGCTAGATGAACTCTGAGAGAAGCTAACATCAGCCCTGTGTGTTTTAGGTGTAGTAAGTAGTCGAGAATAATGTGAAGTGAAGTCGACTGAGGGAGCAGTTGCTGTGTGGAGCACCAGGAAATGAACCTGTGCCATTTGGAGAGGTATGTGGTTCTGGTTGTTTGTCTTCTGCTGTGGATTAGTATTTCTCTGACTTGTGTAGAGCAAAGGGAATCTGAAAGATTCAGCTAGCTAAGAACCATGCGGTGAGCTTCAAGGCATGTATCTGGGGGGTGTCGTAATAACCCTTGGTTCTGGGTGAGAAGGTTCGGGAGGGCTGGAAGTGGATACGGTCTGAATAGTGACATGCGTCAGAGGAAAGGAAACCAGTGCTGACACGTCCATGCTGGCGCTATCACTATGACCATGGCACTGTCCACTTTGACCTTCTGCAGAACTTTGGGAATGAGAACTGTAGGTGGAAAGGCATAGAGGAGAGGTCCGTTCCAATTGAAGAAAAATGCATCGCCTAGGGAGCCGGGGCCGAGTCCGGCTCTGGAGCAGTAGTCTTGACATTTCTTGTTGTGACAAGTGGCAAAAAGATCTATTGAGGGTGTGCCCCAGCACTGGAAGAGAATGTGGAGGACTCCATCGTGTAACTCCCACTCGTGATCTGGAGCGAAGTGCCTGCTGAGAAAATTCGCCGCAATATCTGTGGTGCCAGATAAGTAAGATGCCATAGGTGTAATGCTGTGGTGAATGCACCAGTTCCAAAACTGGATTGCCTTCACACACAGGGAGCAGGATTGAGCGCCACCTTGATGGTTTACATAATACATTGCTGTGACATTGTCTGTGAGGATTCTCACTATGGTATTGCGGATGTGGTCATGGAAGTATCTGCAGGTGTTGAAGACTGCCCCAAGTTCCAGAAGATTTATATGGAGCCATGTCTCTGATGGCGACCATTGGCCCTGGGGGGGATATGATGCCCATATGTGCTCCCCACCCTAGAAGGGAGGCCTCGGGAGTGATGTGGTGCGAGGGTTGGTGGTGGTGGAAGGGCACACCGGCAAGAAGATTTGTGCTGTTCGTCCACCAGTGGAGCGACTGGCGGACCGATTGCAGAGGGGTCACTGATCTGTATAGATCATGTTTCGTGTGATTATATACCAGTGCTAGCCAATACTGAAGACTGCGAAAGTGTAGTCTGGTAAAGTGTACCATGTCAGTTGTGGCAGCCATGTGACCCATGAGCATTAAACAAATGATTATCTGAACGGTCAGACTGCCCTGAATGATTTGTATCAAGTCTTAAATGGCCTGGAACTTCTGGAAGGGTAGATATGCTCTGGCGGTGTTCGCCTCTAGCAGGGACTGATGAATTCCAGCTCTTGAGTAGGGTAAAAAGTGGACTTTTGGTCACTGATAAGGAGTCCGAGGATATAGAAGGTTCTCATAGTGGAGTGGACCATATTGAACACTTCAGTACGTGAGTGACCCTTCAGCAGGCAGTGGTAAGGAAATATGATTACTCCTCCTTGACCGAAGTGTGCGTGTGGTGACGGCTGTCATTGTAGGAGACTGTCTGCATACCCCCGGCCAAGACATCAAACCTGCTGTTTGTTGTTCAGCGGGGTCTGCATACGGTTGCCCAGGTTTCGATGCCTCTGAGGTCTTTGGCGCGGACGTTGCTGATTGAGGATCCATGCTGCCATTGCTGCCTGATATATAGGTAATCGTAACGCCATTGGTAGGCAGCATAACGGCATCGCCTATATGGCGGAGCATACATACCCAATGTCTGGAGGGCTGTGCATGAGTCTTTAGATGAATGTAACACACTGTCTGTCTTTTTGGCGAATAATTTGTCTTTGTTGAACGGCAAGTCTTCTACTTTATTTTGTAGGTCTTTTGGGACTCCTACTGACCGAAGGTAGGATGCTTGTCTCATGACTATCGCCATAGCCGTGGACTGGGCCGCTGTATCCGCCACTTCCATGGCTATCTGGAGAGCTGTTCTCATTGAGGTGTAGCCCTCCTGCACAACTGATCTTAATATGGGTCTTTTTGACTCCAGTAGATGGTCCAGAAGTAGCATCAGCTTTGTGAAAGTATCAAAAATGTGCTTAGAAAGATGTGTGGTGTAATTAGATATTCCGAGCATGAGCGTTGCGGTAGTGTAAACTTTTCTGCCCAATAAAATCAAGTTTTTGTGTCTTTGTCGGAAGAGACGTGTTTGTATTGTGGCATTTTAGACCTTTGATGGGCTGCATCCACCGCTAAAGAGTTGGGTTGGGGGACGGGTAAAGAGGAACTCCATGCCTTTAGCAGGTACAAAATACTTCCTGATAAGCTTTCTTGCGTGTAGGTGGTACAGAGGCCAGGGTATGCCAGATTTCTTCAGCGACCTCCAGTATGGTGTCATCTAAGGGTATAGCTATTCTCGATCTGTGTTGGGGCTGGAGATTTTTAAGACGGCGATGTCCTCTTTTGTGTCATTCAACTGTATCTCATGGCTTACTGATACCCATTTGAAGAGCTCTTGGAATTGCCGAAGGTCATCAGGCCGAGAAACATCTCGAGGGATGACAGCTTCAACTGGAGAAGAAGAATGGTTAGTGGGGGACACTTCCGGTGGGTGCTCCTTGGTGATGGAATGATGCGTATCATCTGGTTCCGATAGAAGTTGTTGTAGAAATGCAGGCTGTCCTGTTGGGGTAGGAGGGGCTAGAATTGGGGAGTGTCTGGGAGATGTATAGCCACAGTATGATCTTCCATGAGATCTGGACCTATGGTGGTAGGAGTATCTGTTGGGTGAGTAATGATGGTAACGGTCATCACGGTGGTAAAGTCTGTCAAGTGGTGAGTGCCTGTCAGAGTAAGTAGGTTGGCCATGTTCCCAATGCCTTATGTGAGGAGGAAGCCAGAGATATGGAGTATTGTTGATGGTAGTGACGATGGTCCCTGTGGGCTGCTAGGAATGGAGAGGCTGGTGTGGAGGAGACAGTGTTCAGCAGCATCCCCCACTGTAAGATCTTGAGAAGCATGATGCCGGTGGGGAAGGGGACGATGCCGGTGAAAATACTAATGAACGAGAGCAACTCTGCGGAGGAGGAGTACTCGGTGCCGGGACATGTGGTTTGATGCGTATATATGTGGAGTCGGTGCCGTTGGTGCCAGTACTGTAGATATCGGTGCTGACCCCCACCCTGAAACTGTAGTGGGCACCGGTGCCGAAGTTGCTGCTGCCAGTGCCGATGATGACCTCAGCATGGAAGAATCCTTTGGTGCTGGAGGTTTAATAGCGGGTGGTGCCAAGGCAACCTTCGGTGCTGCTGTCAGTGCCGCTTCTGCTGGTCTTTTGGTTTTCGGTGCCGCAGGAGTCTTTAGACGCTGTTTCGCAGTGCCTGAAGTACTGGGCTCATCTCCTGTACTAACTCTGCTGTGTGAGATGGCCAGTAGAGACCTGGCAGGTGACGCCTGAGATATTTTGGATGAAACATTTGTAGGAGATGAAGTCCTAGGTTTCAGAGGCTGGCCTGAGGAGGCCAACTCTGAGCCCGTCAGCTGGAGGGCTTTATCAAACAAAATCATCCACAGCCTCATCTCCCTGTCCCGTTGGGCCCTTATGGTCAGTTTGTGCAATGTGGGCACTTTTGTGGGACATGAGCTTCCCCGAGGCAATGGATACATGAGGAATGCCTATAAGAGGTGGGCATTGTCTTGTGGCAAGTGTCACACTTCTTAAAGCCAGGCGAGGATGGCATTTTCAATCTTCAAGTTTGGTTGTTTTTTTGTTTTTTTTAAGTTTTAGGGTTTCAAAGGGGAGTTTAACTAGTAAATATCTCTATCTCTATATAACTATGCACAACGGGAGAGGAAAAAAACCTTGAGGTATTAGTATTATCAGGGCACGCCAGCTGTGCAGTTCGGTGCGCTGCGCATGCACTGACCGTGCTGCGCGGCTGTACTGGCTTGTAATCTACTCACCACAGGCAAGTAGATTACAGTAATTGTCGAGCCTTGATTATTATTATTATTATTTTGAAAACTAGGAGGAATGAAGTAAAACCATGAAGAACAGTAACTATTAACAAAAACAGTCTCATGATTGAGGTGGTAAAGGAGGGAAGTTGAGGAGATCAGTTCACTCTGTCTGCAGCCTGAGGCGATTGTGCAGTCTGGCCCCCGCCAGTTCCTTTAAATCACACAAAAGAGCGCGAATGCTGCGTGACACCACGGCACATGTGCTGAACTAGAAAAATCACCGTTCTGCAGTGCTAGGGCAAGCCCAGCACCCACAGGGACATCACTCGAAGAAGCAGCACTAGTTCCATTCATCATCTGAAAAAAGGTAGGGGCAGAAATTCAGAACTATTTCCAAGTTTAGGTAAAAGTTAAATGACAACTTTGGGTAGAAAAGTTCCAGGTCCCCATGAAAAAGAATACATATAATGGTTTCTTCTGGTCTCCTTGCAACAGAAATTACTTTTAGGAAGGCTACTTTTTAGAGGTCCAGGATATAACAAAATAGTTCTTTCCTTTGTTTTATTTGTAGCAGGTTAAAAAAGAAATGGGAAGCATTGACCCAAACGTTGCTGAAAGCACAAAAAAATGAAAAATTATATACATTTTCCTTTATCTAGCTCTTCAACTGAAGGACTATGGAGCCCTGTGCACTCAGCAAGTTCATGATTAATTGTGTGGAAGCATGGCCATCTCCCACCTGCACAGCTCTGACATAGAAGATTTGTGGGTTGCAAAGCAGAGGCAAAGAAAATGCAGAACATTTCTCTTGGTTTTATAGGGTAGGGCTGAACAAATATGCAAAGCAATTTAAAGGGCTAGTGTTTTAGAGGAATAAAACCTGATAATAATTCATAAATATTGTACCGATGGCCAGACGAATGCCCCATAACAGTCAGTGCCTTCTGTAATTTTTATCTCATGACCAGCAAAGTAAAAACCTTCCCAACATCTGTTAGTTAAAACAGAAGGAGAAAAACGCCTTCTCATGATTTCTGCAACTGTCTGTTCGTCTTCATTTTTACCTGGAAATAAAATGATGAGAGATCATACAAGTTATACAGTACTGCAACAGAACTGAAAGACACACAGAACTGACTGACCAGGAAGCTACTGGTTTATACAGGCAGGCAGCTCTCTAGCTGCCAATCTGACTTATGCCTGAGAGTGGAAATGTATTTTACAATAAATTGTCTTGTATGATATGGCCCTACTTTTGATGGTACTACTGCTACTAGTACAGCCACTACCAACAACAGTCTCCTATTGTTATTCAAAACTATTTATGCAGATCACAATGCATTTCTTCTCATTGATGATGCAGATGGGCACAGAAAATATAAAGAAAGCAATTAGAAAAGTGGCAATATCTTAATATACACACACATATAAAATTATATATAAAATATATAATCTTGTTATTAAATAGGAAGTATTTTCAATTAATTCTACTATGCTGTTAACTCTCATATTTGCATTTGTGTATTTTTCATGTTTTATTTCCAAGGCTCTTTATGGGATCCAAGAGTACTATTTCCTTTGACAATTTACAAAAGAAGACAAAATACCAACTTCAATCTGTCACTGAGCATGTGAAGAAAAGACTTTAGCAACACACATTATGATAGCTAAGAGAAGAAAGCACGACTGTTGGCATTTAAGCATATCCATTCAACCCACTCTACCTTTATACACAAATTCTTTCCAGTTGGCTAGATCTCCAAATATCTTCCTTGTTACTGTGTGAAGAATATTTAGGACAGCTAACACAACCATGCATACATTTTAATAGATACATTTATATATATGGTGTCATCTGACGTCTCACAATAAAAGGAAGTTACCCACCTTGTGCAGTAATGACTGTTCTTCAAGGCGTGTGTCCCCGGGGGTGCTCCACTGTAAGTGAGGGGTCTCCCTGGAGCCACGGCAACATCCACAGCATTCCTAAAGGGGCTGCCTCTCAAAGACATTTATTGTGCAGCCACATGGTCATCAGACCACACATTTTCAAAACATTATGCCATCATGCCCCAACTGGCAGCTGACACATTAATGCCTAAGGCAGTTCTATCTACTGTTACAAAGTAGTGACTCCAAGTCCCACCAGCCACACTGAGCACTGTTTTGTAGTCACCTATAGTGGAGCACCACTGGGACATCACCCGAAGAAGAAAAGGAAGTTACTCGCCTTGTGTAGTAACACTGTTCTTTGAGGTGTATCCCCTCATGGGTGCTCCATGATTGTCCCTTCCTCCCCTCTATTCAGAGTCCAATTGCTCTGCAGTAGATGAGGAACTGAGGGGAGGAGGTCGGGCCGTGCTCAACTGTCAAACCGCCAGCAACATGAGAGGTTCACTGAGCATGTGTGGCCCAACTGTTAACTGCCATCAAAAAGTCTCCGATCCTGCAGCTGCAGGGAGACCCTTTACCTATAGTTGAGCACCCACAGGGACATCACCTGAAGAAGAACATGCAAAACTGATATAAATATAACCACCATAAAAAGCACAAGAGTTAACATTTTCTACACTAAACTATGGACACACGTTTCAAAATGGGCTCTTAGGCTAAATCATCTGGAAGATTGGAGCTTCTTGGTTAACTACTGGAGGGTTAGTTATATAACAGTGTAATTACATTTATTTCTTAAACCTTAAATAGGGGAGCAGAGCTCTTTCATTATAATATCAAATTAGGTGACTTTATTGCTCAAAAACTGGAGTAAAAAAGGGGTTATGTTTCCTTTTAAAGAACAAAGAACCAGGGGCAGAGACACAGGAGATCTATAGTAAAAAACATAGAAAAAAAAGTTCAGAAGAAAACTTGTGCTGAAGTTTATTTTTTGTTCTATACGTTAATAAATTATATCCCTAGAGTGGGGCAAATTAGAACTATGTTGAGTCTGAATACTTTGTTTGGAAGTGGTCGGTATACAACCTGTTTAAAAGTAGGTACATTCCAGTAACTATCCAATTTGCACTAAATCCCATACACTTTAAACAACAATAATCTGTTGTTTTAAAATCATGAAGCAGTAGCCTAAAAACTGAGTTAAATACCATTCCTCAATTACTAGCATGTATCAGATATACTGTAAGACAGGGATGGGGAAATTGGATCCGCTGGCTGGATCCAGTCCACAGAGTTAGTCTCAGGAGGGCTCCCAATGCTAACCCTTGTCTCTGAAAATACCAGAGGTTCACAACTCTCATTGGCCACAAATTGCCATTCATAGCCAATGTGAGTGGCAGGAAGTTATGTCTCAGCCCACGATACTTCCCGCCACTTGCAGCCAATCAGAGCTGTGATCCTCTGACACCTGCAGAGGTGCAGGTATACATAGCGGCAGCAGCCCACCGGGCTGCCTTTTTTTTTTTTATTGTCCACCCCTAATGTAAGAGATAAGATGAATTCAGCACTTTCTTTCCTCAAATTATGAGCTAAGTAAGAATCCCCTTGTCACCAGATAATTTGTTGCAAGGATTGATCAAAATTTCCTGTTGTAGTGGAGCAGCAGAGGCGGTGTAATAATCAGGTGCCCGCTCCAATTTTGCTTGCAATCAATGAATTCTCCCCCAATAAGCAGTTAGTAATACTTTGCACTTATACAATGCTTTTATCCAGAAGATCATTAAGTGTTTTATGAATATTAATTAAAATTCATACCCTTCTGTGATGTAGGACAAGGATACTTCACCTACTATTGAAAAGCAGCAATTTTGGGAAAGGAAGATGGCATCATTCAACAGCACAAAGTGGAGGAAAAGAAGTGAAGACAATTACATTGAAACAGCACGAGGACTGTTAATAAGCAAAAGTTAAGTATCCAAGCTGGCATGTGACCAAGACAATGGGATTAAGTACCCCTCCTATACAGAATCTGCAATGATTATCAGCAATCAGATAGCAGTTTTCTGTATCATCAATAAGACACGCATGCAGCAGCCAAGCACACACTGTACACTTTGCTGGTGGACAGCCACAGCACTTACTCAGATGCAAAAGTGCCACCTACTACGGAGCCACCTGAATCACTTCCTTAGGAAAAAGTGATAGCCCCTTCCAAGAATTGACCTGACCTAACCTTATTAAACTTTCTAAGTCTGATGTGGCACACAGCAATCTTATTTACCTCTGAAGCCATATCATCTTGTGCTGTGACCTTAATTCTCCCAGCTGGATAGCCCCTCTTCCAGCTGACATGAAAACAGAAACCCAAGCCTTTCTATTTGCAGTGTAGGACATGACCTGACAAGGTTCAGCTCTGCAACAACATATTCAACCTGCTACAGAAGCTACATACTCTCTAACCTACAGTTATTCAAGCCCTGTACTTGTAAATATCTGAATGCCATGTATCGCAGCTCTAGGACTGTATGTGGTTCTTCCAAGCACTACTCTTGGTAGAGCCACAATTTCTAATCGTTATATTTAGAAACAAGCCAATTCAACATTCTGATTCAACTTTGAATGTCATGTTGAGCTCTAAAAAATACCACAAAAACCCTGTTAGATGAGCCTAAATTTTTAAAAGCAACTATTCATTTTGGGTGCCCAGTCAGAGCTATCTGAAATGGGCCTACCTGATTTTCAAAAAGTGCTGAGAATACACCCTCTGAAAATCAGGCCCCTTCATTTTTAAATATCTCAAATTGTCCTAAAATGGAGGCTTCCAAAGACACTTCAGATGAAGACAATATCCTTCTTTAGCTGTATTTAAGTCTTACTTATTAACAAACTTACTGCATTGTATATTTTAAGCATGCTAATGTCTTTTGTGGTTCTCTCTGACTCAATCTGATGTCAATATTGCCCTTAAACTACTGAAGAATGAATGCTACCAATGCTCTAGCAGTGCTGCAGCAACAATTTAGAGAAGTTTGGAGCATCATGTGCTTCCACTCTTGTTAGTCACGAAGGACAGAGCCGGTCACAGATTATCAGAGGAGATAGCAAACAGGAGCAGCTAATAGGGGTGTTTTACAAGGTAATTGTGACGGGGCATGTGAGTGGGGCTAGATACGCTTAACATTCTTTAAACTTCTGTAAAATTAAATCCAACACCACCGGATTTTTTTAAAAAAAATCCAATCGAGAAAGTAGTTCAGGCGTAAAAAGAGCATGCATGGGGCCTATCCAGTTTATTGCACCATATGTAGAATGTATGATTACCTGCCCTATGGATAGGTAAATCCTTGCCCTCAGAGTCCATGTATGAGCTTTGGAGACCAGAGTGGAAGAGAGACAACTAAGAGGGAATATGATAAAGACGTATAAAATCATGACTGGTATGTAGTAGGGATGTCAGCGACTAGTCAAGTAGTCAAAGTCGACTACTTGATAAACCTAGGCTTATCGGGTAGTCAAGTTGCTACTCAACTAGTTGCTTCCACCCCTTCTCCCACCTCTGTATTAGCAGCAAGCGGAGGGAGTAGGAGCTGGTCCCCCCAGCACCATCTCTGCAGGTAGGCAGATGTGCAGCAGGGCACCCGGCATGAACCAGAACTGAGCACTTCCAGCTCGCATCAGGTCCCAGACCCAGTGCCTCTGCTTTTTAAATGTAGTAAGAGATGCCTGGCGGCTGGTCATTCTTACTACATTAAAAAAGCAGAGCTGCAGCATCTGGTACCTGATGTGAGCCGGGAACTCAGCTGTCCCGGTTTATGCCCGGTCTGAGATCACTGCAGCTCTGCCTTTTAAATGTGGTAACCCCCTTATTGATTAATCAAGTAGCCGATGGAAATTCCATCAACTACTCGGTTAGCTTACTATCTGCTATTTAACATCCCTAGTATACAGAAAATAAATAAGAAAACATTTCCTTCGCATACCACCAGATAGGGTGTTACCACATGAAATTAATAGGCAGCAGATTTAAAACAAACAATAGGAAATATTTCTTCATGCCACACACAGTTAATCAGTGGAACTCCCTGTCAGAGTATGCATAAGACCAAGACTTTAACAGGTTAAAACAAAAACCTTAGATAAATTCATGAAGGATAGCTCCATCAATAGCTAT